CCAGCCAGAAGTGGCATTTGCTAGTTCTCCAAACTACTCAAAATTTCCGCTACTGATTCTCCAAACTACTCAAAATTTCCGCTACCAGTTCTCAGAACCAGTTGGAACCTGCTGGATTTCACCCCTGGTTGAGAGCAGTGAAAAGGATCTGGGCATCCTTGTCCAATGCAGGAGCCAGTAATGTGATGCAGCTATTCAAAAGTCTAGTGAAAAGAAAGTCTAGGGGTTGATAGGATAGCAGTGTTCCAATAGTTGAGGAGCTGCCACAAAGCTGAGGGGAGTAACTTATTCTCCAAAGCACCAGATGGCAAAACAAGAAACAATGGATGGGAATTAACCAAGGAGAGAAGCAACCTGGAGAAACTTCCTAAGGGTGAGAACATTTAACCAGTGGAACAGCTTGCCTTCAGAAGTTGTGAGTGCTCCGTCGCTGGGGGTTTTCAGGAGAGATTGGACAGCCATTTGTCTGAAATGGTATAGACTAGCGGTCCCCAACCTTTCCTGCTTGGCAGCTCAGTGGGAATAGGGGGAGAGGGGATGCTTGTATATGATTGGGTGTGTGTGCCACTTGCGCAAATGGAGCTTCATGCATGAGCGCCTGATGCTCGCGTAAGTGGAGCTGTGCAAGCCCTCTTGCACATAGCTTGCATGGTCCTGTTCCGAAAGGGCTGCAGTCCAGTAGTGGACTGCAGCCTGGGGGTTGTGGACCCCTAGTATAGACTCTCCTGCTTGAGCAGGGTGGTGGACTAGATGACCTCCAAGGTCCCACTCTGTTATTGGTTAAAGGTCAGTTGCCATCCTGGAGTAGATAAACAGAGTTCCTAGGAAGTAATTGTTCTACTCTACTGCGCCTTGCCTTGATCCCATTCCATTTGGAGTGCTGTATCCAGTTTGGATCACCAGAGTCAGGCTCTGCCTGTCACAAACCAGGACAAAGGGTGAGTGACGGAGGAGTAACACCTCCTTAAAAAACCTTGGCCCAGCTGGCCCGGCTGGGAGCACCTCGTAAGGGCCCTTCCCAGGGTTACAGGAGAAGACGGTCAACGGTTTTGAAGGCGGAAGAGAGCTCTGCACCCCAACGGCAGATCAAGCGGCAGAACCATCTTCTAGAAGAAGGGAAGCTCTGATTACAAACCTCCACTGCCTTGTGGCTGCATCCACCACTGGAAAAGGCTTCAGGAGTCAACCTCCAGGCAAAATCCAGAGCTGGAGTCCCGGAAGCAGTTCTTGACTGTGTACAACCACGTTCTGGTAACTCCTGCGACTCAACTGGAACCCATCGTATTGGCTCTGCCATTCCATTGGATTATTTCAGCTACATGGAGGGGGGGAATCTACTGCTTGGGTAACAGCCTATCCTCCATATTAATCTACTCAAGCCCCTGCTCTGCGGAGGACACTCCAGCTTTACCTCTTTCCAGAGCACGATACCATCGTCTTTGGAGACTGAAGGATGCCATTGCGAAATGCAATGCAATGCTGTGTCCAGTTTGGACCACCAGAGTAAGGACAGGAACCAGTTGCATTCCCTAGGCGGACTTGGAAGAATGTCATATTGTGGGACCTGTTTAGCTCTAGTGCAGGGGTCAGCAACCTGTGGCTCTGGAGCCGCATGTGGCTCTTTCATCCCTTTGCTGTGGCTCCCTGTCGCCGGTTGGTGCCACAATTTTGAGAAAAGTTTCTGGTTGGAAGTGGGGGGGGGGAAGCTCAGCTTGTCAGGAGGAGACTCTATGGCAAGGGGCAGGTTTTCCGGTCAGCTCCAAAATTGGTAGGGCTTTTGGTTAGGGAACGTAGAGGAAAAAGGGCGCCGTGCTAGGAGGAGACACTATGGTGGGGGAACCGGAATTGAATAGGGGGCTTCCAGTTAGGACTTTTGTGGCTCTTTGAGTGTTTAAGGTTGCCGACCCCTGGACTAGTGAAAGGGGACTGAAGGAGCTCTGATAGGACATCTATTGAACTAGTACCAAGTCAGATTTCCTATCTTTCTTCTCCAAATGTGTAGGGATGACCACCTTCGATCAAAAGGCCACGATAGAAATAACTGTTTGCAAGAATGTCACCCATATTGCAGGGGTGAAATCCACCAGGTTTTGACAGGTTCTGGAGAACCGGTAGTGGAAATTTTCAGTAATTCAGAGAACCGGCAAATGCCACCTCTGGCTGGCCCCAAAGTGGGGAGAGAATGGAGATTTTGCAGTATCCTTCCCAGTGGTGGGATTCAAATAATTTAACAACCGCTTCTTTGCCCTAATGACCAGCTGGGTAGGTGGGCTTGGTGGTCATGTGACTGGGTGGGCGTGGCCAACTCAATATCAGTCATATCGATAGGCACTTCGCCTTAGCTGTTACAATGTCATAAGGGTTAACGGGAGAGGCAGTTTCTGTAAGCAGGGCAACAAAGATCAGGCTAGAAACAACACCGGAATGTTTCCTTCCTGCCTTCCTTACAGGATTAGCCCTGGAAAGTGGGGGGGAAATAAATTGAGATTTCTTCCAACAACCGGTTCTCTGAACTGCTTAGAAAGTTAACAACCGGTTCTTCCGGATAGGTGCGGACTGGGTGAATCCCACCATTGATCCTTCCCCTGGAGTGGGGAGGGAATGGAGATTTTGCAGTATCCTTCTCCTGCCATGCCCACCAAGCCACGCCCACAGAACTGATAGTAAAAAAAATGAATTTTACCACTGCTCTCAACCCAGCTAACCCTAACCTCAGAGGTCATCTAGTCCGACTCCCTGCTCCAGCAGGATATTGTTAAAGTGAGTTTCTGTCTTTTGAAACACCCTGTCACATGACTACATAGCCATGCCCACCCAGTCACATGACCCCCTCCCCCACCAGGTCACGCCCAGAGAACTGGTAGGAAAAAATTCTAGATTTCACAACTGATGCAGACCGAGACTCCTGGCCATCCCCCACTGCGATGTCTTGGCCAACTTCCTATGGGATTGCAAAACTTCTCAAGATGCTCTGTGCAAGAACTAGAAACATCGTTACATAAAGTTTCAGTAGACATTTATTAGCTATCTAAGTAGATTTTGCAGCCAGGAATAAATTCTGCTTGGTGTGTGGAATGAAAGTGTCCAGCCACAGAGGCTGTGTCTGTTCAACGGCCTGAAAACAGCTTCTGGGATCCCTTGAGGGCGAAGTGGTTGCAAGAGGGGAAGCTGGGAAGTTGCCAAGTGGGGCCAAAGGTCTCCTGCAAGTGGCCGGGACTCCTCAGGGGTTGGTACCAATTCGCTGCGCGCACACTTTGCACGCACACAGAAGAGACTGAGGAACCAGTTTTGGGGCGTGGCCAGCCTGGGTCGCTGCCGGTTCTGCGACCCAGGCCAAATCACCACTCCCGGTTCTGCCAACCGGGAGCAACCCACCTCTGCTCCATTTGGATGGTGCCAGTGGTGAAATTCAATTTTTTTCACTCTGGTTCTGTGGGAATGACTTGGTGTGGTAGGCGTGGCTTTGTGGACGTGGCAGGGGAAGGATGCTGCAAAATCTCCATTCCCACCAGGGGTGGGTTCTGGATCCCGTTGCAACAGGTACGGTTGCAATGGGGCCCTGCATCCTCCACATGAATGTGTGCAGTGTGCGCACGCGCACATGTGGCACGCACATCGTACTTTCCAGCGATGCCTCCGCATACCTCTGTGATGCTCCAGCTGATCAGCGGAGCATCGTGCAGGCACTGTACGTGCCATGCAAGTGCTCAGAAGCACCGAAGGCTTCAAAGGACAGGTAAGGAGCTTGGGCGGGCGGGTGGGCCCTCCGGAGCTCTGTACCAGAATGGTACATGGTGCTCCGGGCAGGCTCCGGTATGCCCGTACTGGGGCGTACCGCCTGCAACTCACCACTGATTCCTACCCTACCCTAGGACCAGCCATTGGTGGCATTTGCCGGTTCTCCAAATTACTCAAAATTTTCCCTACCGGTTCTCCAGAACCTGTCAAAACCTGCTGGATTTCACGCCTGGATGATGCCCTGGGATGCTAGTTGTAGGTGTAAGGAGACGGCCTCCCTTCTTCCCTTCCTGCTGGATTCTGCTTCCCCCCACCCCTACCCAGTGCGGAGCTGCTCTCACAACCCTTGTGTCTCTGTCTTGTGCACAGATCTTCCCGCTCTTCTCCAAGATGGGGGCCAATGGGGTCCTGGTCGAGTACGAAGACATGTTTCCCTTCCAGGGAGAACTGGAGATACTCAGGTCCCCCTATGCTTACAGGTAAGGCAGAGTGGGGGGCTTTGGCAAGGGCTAGTGGTGGTGGTGGGAGATGGAGGAGCTAGGTCAGGCTTGAATCTGGCCTTCCTCCCGGGAATTGAAGATCCTCAAGCTCAGAAATAGTTCATGCACTGTGTCTAGAGTCGCCGAAATGGGAGGGGGGAGGAGAAGGGGAACCCAGAGCTCATCTGCCATGTTCTCAGTGGTGCATGGGCATCGGTGTTTCACAATGGGCCGTGCAATCGCCCGAGTTGGGTTAATAAGTAGCTGGAAAGCCAACAGTCCATTCCTTTGGTTGATTCAAGGGGTGGGAGAGGTTTGGTTGGGGGAATCTATTTGTTTCTTTTCTGCAAGGTGGGAGGCATGTCACACGCATCCAGCTAGCACCCTTTCAGAGCTGCCTGCATTTCGAGGCATGCTGTTCATGTGTGGATTTGAGAAGAATTTTAAAGAGAAAAATGGGTGGAAATTGTGCAGGTGGGGGGGTCAGGTCTCCCCTCCCCTCTCTTTAAAAAAAACTGACTCACCTCTGAAGGACCCTTTGCAACCTGGCCTGCCCAGGGTTAGCAAGTGGCTCTCTTTTTTTTCATGTTTTATTTGTTTTACTTATATTATTTTCCATTTCCACTGAACAGTGTGGTATCAGAGTTTTAAACAATCAAAATTCACATGCTTGTTATAATATTCATCACAATACTATTAATAATATAACTATATATCCATACAGTTACATTAATACATAATATCTTTGTCATCAAATTCCCTCCACATTATCATTCCCTCTTTTTCATATCTCTTCCTTTCTATTTCTGTTATCTCTAACCATTCGTAAAATACATCCCACATAGAGAAATACTAGATAATTATCTTTAATAATAAGCGTTACTCTATCCAGGTCTGCACGGTCTAATATTTTCTTAATGACACTTTCATCTGACGCTATTTCAACGTTTTTCCATTGTTGAGCAAATACAGTCCTATCTGCCATTAATATATGTAATACCGGATACTAGTTTTTTTATCATATTTTTCTGGTAGAATGCCGAACAGAAATATTTCAGGTTTCAAAGCAATGTGCAGCTGTATCATTTTTTCCACCCAAGTATGTATTTTCATCCGAAATTTTTTAACTTTTGGGCATGTCCACCACATATGGTAAAATCAACCTATGAGATTGATTACATTTCCAACATTTAGCAGATCTATTTTTATACATCTTAGCCAATCTTGCTGATGCAAAATGCCATGAATAAAATATTTTATACAAGTTTTCTTTCTATGCAGTTGACATAGTCAGTTTAACATTTCTACCCCATAGTTTCTGCCACTTATCTACCGATAGCTCTATTGCATATCCAAAGCAAGTGGCTATACCTTTTGCAAATGGAAGTGGTGCCCCCCACCCACCCCACAGTCCTCTCTTCACCCCATTTCTTTCCTGGGTTCATGGCCCCGTTTGAATACCCTGAGCTGTCATGGATTTGTGCAGGAACAGGAGGTTGGGTCTCTGACGTGCCCCCCTCCCTCCATCAAGATGTGCTACCAGAGGCCAGAGCATCTCATTGAGGTGGGCCAAGCAGTCCCTTTGGGTGGTCTTAGCCGGCCCCCTCCCTCCCCCTCTCGTCCCTGCTGGGATCCGGGGCAGGGCTGGCTCAGTGCTGACGGCTGTTTTTCTCTCTTGACAGCGAAGAAGATATCACGAAGATCCAGGAGCTGGCAGACCTCAATAAACTGGAAATAATCCCCTTAGTGCAGACTTTCGGGCACGTGGAGGTAGGAGTGGCCGGCTGTCCTTAATTTGTCCCCTGTGCACTTTTGAGGAATGTGCAAGGCCTGGCCTCTGTGGTTTTGCACACACACCAAAGTCCCTCTCTTTGATGTTTGCACATGAGGCTTGTGTTGAATGGGCTCCAGTGGAGACAAGGAGGACACGTGGCTGCGGCTCAGCCGTGGCCAACAAATTGTTCTGGCATTTCCACAGCACACTGAAGTTGCCTAGAGAATTAACCCTTCTTTCTGTTTTTATGCAATCCATCCAACCAACAACTCAGCCGAATGGGCTGGACTTGCATAATATGTCCAGCCGCAAAATCGAAACCAGGCATTACTTGAACTCAGTTGGCGGATTCTTTTATTAAATTGCCTTGATTCCACAACGGTAGGTTTTATAGGTCACATTCTCTGATTTTACTTGTTGATTTTCACTTGGTAGTTTTTTCCCTCTGTCTCAGTTTCTCAGAATTAGTTGTGGGCCATTCAGGGCCGCAGTGAAAATCACACTGTACAAAGTCTACCTTATGAGATACTCTGGCTGCGAGGCAGGTAAAAATAGGCCCACCAAAAAGCATATGTGCCATTTAATAAAATTTGCTAGTTGGAAAAGGTGCTAGAAGACTCCTGAATTCTGCCCAATAGAGTCATAAACCAAAGAGGGGGCCTACTCCCAGTGGTGGGATTCAGCTGGTTGGGGCGAACTGGTTGTTAAATTGCTGGCTGCCCCTTCCAGGAGTCCCCTCACGCTCCCAGGTAAGTGCAGAGAGGCCGCCTATGCCTAAAACTGGGCTTGAGTGTAGTTGCCCCCCGAGCCTGTTTTTGTTCCCACGGGGGTGCAGGAGGCTGAGTGCTGCCTATCACACCCCTGGCCATGCCCACCCAGACGGTCATTAAGGCAGAGAACCGGTTGTTAAATTATTTGAATCCCACCACCGCCTACCCCATTTTGCTCTGGCCAGTGAATAAGACTGGTGGTTCCCTGACTGAAGAAAGTGAGTTGGGGGAGATACAACCAGGTACTTTTCAGGCCTGGTTTGGCCAGTCCCTGCTGGAGGTGGGCTGCGCACCTTAGCAAACAACCAAAGTTGGCTTTCTAAGCAGAGGGACAATACCCGATTCCCCAATCTGAGGGGATAAATGCAAGAGCAGCACCTCCAAACCCAGGGAAGGTTTTTATTTTTGAATTTAACTTCAGTGGTTTCTTTCCTGATTACTAAATGAAGTCAATGCTGACAGAGGCCCTCATACGCAGGGAACCTGATTCCGCCTCTCTTTACAACCCCAGATGAAGTCCAGCAACATCTCCTGTGTAGAAGAGACCCAGGTGAGGAAGATCGTGTGTGGGAGAAGATTTTCTCTCAGGCCACCTGTCCAAGGTGGTGCCTAAAATGTCACTTCCCCATACCTGTGGGTACAGAAATAAGAGAAGAAAGGCAACCATAACTTTAACACGTCTCTTCCTGGAAACTGTCAGTGGGTGGGACCCAGCGTGTCTCTGAGCAATTTCATTTCAGCACTTCCTCCTGGGAACGTCTCTAAGCCACCTTAGGTAACCCAGGACTTTCAATAGGCAGATTGGCCTGCCGTAACGCAATAGGCTCTGCAATTATTGTCTGTGCAGGGACAAAGCCTCCTCTTACAGTAGACTTTTTGTGCTCAACAGAAATGTAATGTATCTGCTCTAGATCAGGGGTTTCTAAACTTGGCTGGCTGGCTGGCTAAGGAATTCTGGGAATTGAAGTCCACATGTTTTAAAAGGGGGCAAGGTTGGAGAGACCCCCCCTTGCTCTGGATCAATGTGGCTGGGGAATTCTGGGAGTTGAACTCCACCCATCTTAAGAGTTGCCAAGATTGAGAAACTCTACTGTAGATATTCTGGAGTATTTAGGTTCTCGTTCAATGTCAATATTGCTCAATCTTCTAATCATGATGCCTGCTCCTTTTAATGAGCAAAAGAAGTTTTGTTTTGGCTTATTTATTTATTTATTTATTTATTTATTTATTTATTTATTTATTTAACTTCATTTCATCAAGCACGAATTAGATAACAAATATAAGTATAAACATGATTATGAATACATGAAATGAATAAGAATGCAAGGGAATATTAGGACAGGGACAGTAGGCATGCTGGTGGGCTTATGCATGCCCCCTAAAGACCTCTTAGGAATGGGGTGAGGTCGACAGTAGACAGTCTA